GCCTTTCACAAACTTCTCCCACAACAGTCAAACAGACCAAGCAAGACTTTCATAAACTCCTCCSACAAATGTCTGACTAACCAATCACATCTTTCACAAACTCCTCCCACAACTCAGAAGCCTTTCACTTYGTGACTGCAAAGACCCCCTTCTCGATTTTTCGGATGTTTTATGCTAATCCTCAAACAGTCTGTGTCATTTACAGTTCAGTCAGTTAACAAAGTCACATGTAGGCATCATGTTAGCTACATGAATAATACACCAGATTTTACATCCACAAGGAAGAAAATGGATGAAATACTGTCCAAATATGATGGTTTCTGAGCCACTGAAGCACAAAACAGAGCTCTGCAACAGAATTACAGCCAGTTTATCTTGATCTTCTCTTGTCTTTCAAGCGTTCTCAGATGAAAACTTTCAAACTGATGCTCAGGTGATGGATTTGATGGTGGTTTCGGGTGGAGGTATTTGACCATGGTGGCAGCTGGTCTCCACCGAGCTGCCAAGCARGCTGCGCTGCCAGTGGTGAAAGCTGTGGAGCTTCGAGTCACAGCAGTTGTGAAACAACATGAAGATTTTCCTCAGGACAGCCTTCCTCAGGAGGATGTAGACCCAGGGGTCCAGGATCTGGTTCCACGTGGCCATCCGTATCAGTGTCAGCAGACGAAAACATGTGGACTCTCCTTTGACTCCGACACTGAGAATGATGACATTGACCTGGATATCAGAACAAAAGAAAAACAATCAAATGCAGATTATTCAACAACAATCATAAAGAAAACAATTATTAAAGAAGATATAAATGAAAACGTGAAAAAAACGCAAGGTAAAATACTTCATATCAAACTATAACTGAAAATACATCTAAACTTAGCACCAAAAGTAAGGAAATTAATAGTTGGTATATTTTTTCTTTGTTGTAACAATCCTATAAAAATACAGTATGTGTCCTGTAGCAATAAATCTTATATCATTGCATAGCCCTGTAAATTTCTATTTTAAATGGTAACACATTTGTAACGAACATGCATTTGTGGGATGAGCAATAAAGCTGAGTATGTTGGTTGTGCATATGGAAAATTTGCCAAATCTTCTCTGCCAAACAGCTTATTTTGTTGTTGTTGTTGACACTTGTTCTGAGCTTCTGGTACTCCCAGGTGCTGCCAATCAGGTGCRTGATAAGAATTATTGCCAAAAACAATGTTACAAAGAACTAATCTACCAAACACAAATTTCTTTACTTTATGTGCTWAGTTATATTTTTATTGACTTTTTTGATTTCATGACTCAGCCCCCTGTAAGAAAAAGATGTGAATCAGGGCCCCAACAATAACCAACACAAAGAGGGAAAAAAACAAAAACGAGGGGCCTTTGAGCCCCGCCTGCATTCACTACATATACATGACACGACATCTAAGAACCACAGCATCCAACCAATAAGTCAGCTGATGGGGCACATGCC